AGGAACATCCGGTGCCCCACAAGGGTTCGTTTTAGGACTTTTTGCTTCTAATTTATATAAACGACTTGCTCGATATATTTCATATTCTACTAGGCTGTTTGACTTTTACTGTGTAATCTATCGCGAAATTAGTTATGAATCTGATGCTCTCCTACTTCAGGCAGATTTAGATGAAGCTTTTGAGTGGTGTAACAGATGGTGTATGACTCTTAACATAATTATATGTAAAGCTACCCGTACAACTCGACGTAACTCCTCACCACTGACATACTACGTTGATACCTCTCCCTTGCAACTCTCAAACTCCTACAAATATATTGGTCTTCATATTACTCTAAAATGTCATGGAATGTTCACATTAATCACATCTCAGCTAACGCCAACTCTACGCTTGGTTAATTAAAATGAAAATTTAGATTAGCCACCGTATCAATAAATTTAACATTATTTAAAACACTGGTACGTTAAAAATTATAATACGCTGCAGCAATCTGGGGTCCCGTTCACTCGACACTCGAATGTAACATAAATGCCATCCGAAATCGCAGCGCACGTTTTAACTTTCGTAATTATGTCCCTACCGCAAGTGTCTTGGCTATGCAAACTAACTTTTCTCTGCCTCTTGAGTCTTCGTGTCGCAACATTTCTCGTCTCTGTCTTTTCCACAGAATGTATTACTCTAATGGCGCGTTCACACTGGAAGCGGATCCGCGTTCGCGAAGCGGATCCGCGCGTTCTCAACCGCAAAGCGGCTAGGATCGAGCGGTTTGAGCGCGTTTTTGCCAACCGCTTCGGGACCGATTTCTCCCAACCACTTTCACGAACCGCAAAGCGGCAACCAATCACAACGCGACGCTGACGTGACGTCAGTGACTTTCAAAACAAGATGGAACCTGTCGCTGGTGAGTCATCCAAGGCGCTGTAATCCTAGCGCTGTAGTCTTAGCTTTCGACAAATCAACGGAGAAACTTGATGCTCACGTCCGTCACTTGAATCCGCCGCGAAAAGAATTGACTCGTAATTTTAACGGGCTTCGCACCAGTGATTTGGTTCGGGTAAGAGTTTGTTTATTATTCCGGGTGCCACAGCCCAAGCTCGCTGTCTTGTTAATCTCTGCCTGTAGAACATCGGAACCCGCCCCTGATCGACCAAAATGTCAGCTTTTCTACCCAATAAGTTTGTCGCGTGAACTATTGAAAGCTTTCGACACCGTGCATGATCACCACGAAGGCCGATAGAGACGTCGTGAGCTTGATTGCGTAGCTAACGCATTACCGCGGAGGGAGCAGGGTACCTGCGCTAGCTCGACCTGTAACGTTTACTACTAATCAAATAAATAAAGGGAACCTACTCAAGGAATAAAGTGTACGTACCAGACAGTGCATAGGTAATCCATACGGCGTTTATTTGAGCTTAATGTCAAACAAACAGTAGACTTGATCGGCGAGCGAGTGACGAGAGGAGAGTCCGCCACCAACGAAGCCACGACCGGCTAGCACCGAACACATTCCCCCGCACCACGGTCCACCCCACCACTCACAACTTCGAAAATGATAAGAGCGAACAACAACGAGGGGGAAAACTGGCCCTCTATCTCGAAAACAAGGTCAGCTATTCATGCGCGAAGGGTCCACTTCGAAGAAAAGGTCATGGGCATCCTGTTCTGAGTCAGCAAGGCGCGCCTAGCTGGGCTTTGCTTGTGGGCGAAGTCGAGGGAATCACAGGCGAGTTTGGCGGGTCCATGCTTCTTTTTTCGCTGCCTGAACTTGTGATGCGTGCGAACATTCCGGAGAAAAATATTCCGAGTGCCAAAATAGCAAAACTTTGGCTTTGGATCTTGAATTAAAGTGGATTTTGGACTGTAAAACAGGGTTGCCAAACACAAGTCTCAAAAGATCACGCGTGATCGCCGAGAAACCGCCAACCGCCTCTCGGTGTGTCTGAACGGGGTCGCTCGCGAACCGCATCCGCGACCGTTTCGCGAACGCGGATCCGCTTCCAGTGTGCATGCGCCATAACTCTCCTCTAAAATAAAAATTTCTTCCTCTCCCGCATTCTTCTGCTTGCCTTGACAATCAAAGCAAAGTAGGATTTCATTAATGTTGTACCAACGCCTACTTCAACTCCTTCAAACCATTTATTTACAAGGTAAAATATTTACATTCTTCATTTATTTTACAACGTAAAATAAATGAAAAATTAACAAGCGTCTTAACGTGGTTCACCTAGCATAAAAACAAAGCACACTCTATTTCACGCTAGGAGAAAGCATACAAATTCTGAAGAACTAGCTATATACTTAGGTAACGTGCAGTTGCTGCATGTTTCCTGTTACAAATATTTAGGTGTCTGGTTTGAAACCGATAGGCATTGGAAGAATCAAATTAAAAACATAAGCACAAAACTTGCACACGGTTGCTACACACTACTAAAGGCTCGGGAGTTTTTTAATTCGTCTATACTGCGCGTTCCATACTTTGCATTTGCACATAGTCACTTGAATTACTGAATAGAGTCTTGGGGGAACATATACCACGTATTTAGAGCCACTCAGTCGATTACAGAAAAGGGCTCTGAGACTCGTTAGTTATTTTAGATATACTGAACCAAGTGGTCCTCTATTTCAATCAGTTGGTGTGCTGCCACTAGACCTCCTATACAACTTAAAAATAGCTGAAACAGTCTTTAAAATAATAAAAACTAACAACCCACTCCCATTACATCTATTTAAATTACCATTACGCAATACGAGGGCTGCAACAAATAATCTGTTTAATTTGCCACCTTGTAGAAATGTCTATGGAGAAAGGTATATTGAATTTAACGGTGCCCTAATGTGGAATTATATCCCTACTGACATCAAATGTAAACCCAATTGGCATCCTTAAATAAGTATTTAATTAATTTGCAAGCCAATGAATAAGTTCAATATCATCTCCTGTCTATTTTTTTTAATTAGTGTGTATATTGTTTTGTGTATACTTTGATATGTGCGCACATTTGTTTTGTTTGCCTGCCGCATTGTAAAGCTTATTTCTAATGTTGGACCCACGACTAGCCTCCACGGCTATGGGTCCCAGCAACGATTGTGTATTTAAAAATAACAAAGAAAAAATAAAGAAAAGAAAACCCAGACCGTCTTCCGAGTGGAACAACCTTCCCGCATCCTAAGTCTCCATATCATCACCTGATTAGTTCAAAACTGCAATAACCAATCATTTTAGTTAATAATAACGTTGAGCGCTCACGTTTATATAATTCGTATTTGATTTTGTTCTTACTGAAGCTTTTACTGTATCTTGCCCCTCGCATCCGTAATGCCCTGGTGGCCCTGAGGGTACTGAAATAAATAAATAAATATGTTCTCAGATCATTTGACCCGCCAAATTTGCTCCGAGCTCAGGTTCGATCGCGTACCCTGCAGTTGTAAGCGTAAACGAAGGCAACACACTACCATGTTTATGTATTCATCTGGGCTGTAATACGCTTTTAGAAAGCACTTTGGCTCTTGACTGCGCAAAAGTAACTGCAAAACGAAATTCACCAGGGTCAGCAATATATCAAAAACGAATGAGGATCTTCTTTTTTTTTTTTTTATTCAAGGAGACGCACTGGAAATAAAATGATCACGGCTGTTTTCGGCAGCGCATGGAGAGGATCGGTGCTCTCTGTGCGCAAGTCATTACCCCCTCCCAATAGCCCTAGGCGCTCAATAAGGCAATGCAGAGAGAGAATGTTAAAGTAACGTATCAAAATTCGATCAATTTATATATGTTTTTTATTAGAGAATGCGCGAAGTTGTTATGTTATTTTTAGCTCGCTTCTTTCTGAATTCTATAGCGTTTTTACCTTAATAATTCGCAGATGTGTACAGCGCGGTGGTTTACGCATGACGTAAATCCGCTTAGTATCATTACTCCAGCTGAACAGGAATTGAGAGATTCTTGTTTACAACTTAAAACAATAGAAACTAAATAAAAAAAAGATAGTCATTGTTTTCGAGCTTCCTTTGGCTACTCACGTGCGCTCTGCGCGTCGTGGCGTCATTTCAGCTGAATATCCAAATAAGCGCTACACGCGTACCTATAGACTATTTTTTTAAACTGCCGTTAATTAAAAGAGAGCTGTAAATATTGTCACGGATAAAGGCAACAAAACGATGAATAACCAACTGAAAATAAAGTTCTGATCGGGAGTTGGCTAGGTAGAGACTGACTAGGCAAGTTCATTCTGGCCTTCTTTTCTCCTAAACTCGTGTAACGAATAAACACAAAACTACTAGATGCGCGGACAAGCGTTTATTCCCGTTCATGCACGCATCATTATATTCGTCCTTGTTATTTCCATGCAACTCAAAAATTCTTGCACTTGAAAAGTTCCTGAGTCTTTTGCGAGTGGTGACAGACATCGTTGAGTTTCTTTTTTTTTTATCAATTTCAATGTTTAATTTTATTTTCTGTGTGCTGTAAAAACATTGACTTGTGTGAGTCATGATACAATGTTTCAAGATTCATTATAGACGAACAGACAAATTTAGGAACCGGAGTGCAACAGAAATTATAAAACATATTTCGCCATAAAAAAATATTCATTAATTTGACACCTACTGGTGTGTCTGAAGGGATTTGTATAACATTGGTTCATGATGGTACAGCCGGCACTCACAAACCCAACCGGCAACCGAGTTAACTGGGGGGGGGGTTCTGCTTGTGTTTATACAGCCTAGAACTTGGTCTGCCTCAGCGGGTGACGGGTCTCCCAGCTGTAGATGAACAATTTAGCCAGTGCAGTACAACCGCTCGCCTGGAGTCTTTAACGTGCATCACGAGGTAGTGATCACGACCGCACGAACCGCACGCCGGTACGATTCTTATCCAGATCGAAACGGGCAGGGGTGTGGCCTGAGCCCTGGATTGTGGGTCCTGCAGTGCGAGCTTTCACTCCACGAGCTCCTAGCTGGTGTGCGCTAGCCCGATTGGCTACCGAACCCCCCTTCGCAGGAGCTGTTTTGTGTTGGAAGAGTTCCCGGATTCATTGACGTCCTCGAGTTCCAAGACTACTCGGAGGCTGGTCTGAAACCCCACGTGCCTGATGACACCACAGAGGAGGTCGTCGTGATGCTGTACACGTCCGGAACCACGGGCCTCCCGAAAGCCGTGCAAATCTCCCACAAAGCTTACGTCTCCTCCTACCGTGCTTTAATGTACGTTGTTTGTTAAACAAAAGTTTTTACTGTCAGAGCTGTTACGGGCGCTTGCCACCGGTGTTGGGGCGGCGTGAGCGTAACCGAATATAGTTTCCACAATAAATTTAGCGGAAATATTCACGCCATGTGACTTATTAACCAATTCAGCTTTCCCGCTAAATTTAGCGGAAAAAATATACGTTACGTGACCTATGCACCGATTCAGTTTTCCCTCTAAGTTTGGCGGGAAAATTGATGTCATTTGAACTGATGTCACGGGTCTTACAGACATGATAAGACTCCCCGATAAATTTAGCGACACATTTGACGTGACGGAATATATAGGTCAATTCAATTTCCTATTTAAATTTAGCGGAAAAATTTACGTCACGTCACCTATCCAGCTATTCAGTTTTCTCCGCTATATTTCGCGAGAGAATTGATTTCACGTGACCTGGCGCAACGGGACCTGCAGAAAAATTATTGTTTACCGCTAAATTTAGTAGTTAACATTACGTGTGTTAACATTACAGGACAGACAAATTCAAGTTACCCGATACATTTAGTGGAAAACTTTACGTCATGTATCATATCCACCAATTCAGTTTCTCGCTAAATCTTCCGGAAACATTTCGCGATGATGTGACGATCGTGATCGTCATATCATCAAATAAGGAGAACAGCTAAAGCTGTCTAAACACATCACGCCCCATGGTCGTCAAAATATTTATTTTATCAAATTAAAAATTAGTAAATACTATGTGCTGTCGCAATGACATTTGAAATTGAAAATCAGTGGATGGGGCCCACCAGGGTTCCTGAGATGCTTTGACGTACCCATTAAAAATATTTGAGGGTCTTTGTATGTCGTCAAAGTTTTCTAAGGGGGCTGACGTATCATTTAAGAATTCGTAAAGCGTGTAAGAGACCTGTCATAGATTTTTAAAGCTTCCCGTGTCTGTCCCAACCCAAACCACAGCACCAATCAAAATTGTTAAACGTTATGCTTATAAGTATTCCCATTCGAGGAGCACGACGTCGTGCGTGTTGCATCTCTCATTCCAATAACGTTGATCTTGTACGTTTCGTGAGTGCTTCACAGTCATTTGGCCGTCAAAAGTGTTGAAGGGTTCAGGGGGTCTGAAAGGTTGAATGTTCTGACGGTCTGAAGGGGATTGTACCGCCCAGTGATTCAATGCTCGGAAGGGGTTTGAAGTGTTGATAGCGTCCCTTAACACATCATGGTTGAAGTTTTATTTTAATAGGTTTTAAAGGGCACATACAATGTTTCCCTGCAATCGTTCATTAAACTGTAGAGTAAATAAGGATGCGCGCAGCCTTATACAATTCAAACTTCCGAACTCACCACTTGCCTATCACTTCACTCATATATCAATACATATTTGGATTAGTAGTACGAATGTTATTACAAATCTGACAAATGTTATTACATTTATGAAAATATCAACGTCTGACCTACAAAAGGTAGGTCAGACGCTGATATTTTCAAATAGAGTTTTTAGTAGTTCACTTAAAGACTGGCATGTAAACTGAAGTCGGCTAAACGGGACACTGCGGCTTAAGGTGCCTCCGTCTTGTGATAACCTGAAACGTCAAATTGGGTCATTCTCATGAAAGACAGGACCGTTGATTGAGGATAGGATGAAGCCATGAAACGAACCGAGACGAATCGGCCCTATATTAACGGAAGGAGGATAGATATTCAGGCATGCAAATACCAAGGCTGCGCGAGTGAAGCGTGTATTCATTTTTTATCAAAAGATCGCCTGCATTTAGATCCAGTACCCAGGATCAGCGTCTGGAATCAGGACCCAGTCGCTGATCGATTTTTGATGCTGGCTGATGCGTGTCGCAACTTAGAACAGTCAGGCATAACATTTTTGTTCCTTTTGCTATTGCATTCTTTAACATATTTTAATAAGCCTTTTTTTTGAGGAATCGGCACTGTCTCTGACTTCTATTTGACAGTGTAATGGAAATGTAATTGTTTGCATTAAATGAACAGGAATTGTTTAAGCTGCATACCACTTTTGAAATATTGGTTGACTCTCATTGGACCATGTTACAGGGCTTCAGGCATGTTTGCTGAAGATGACATTATGCTTGCTTGGAATCCCTTCACTCACGCCTCTGGGTTCGTTGTCGACACCATCTGCGTGTGCCTGGGAGTAACGGTGATAATTACGGAGCATTCCCTATCGTGCAAAGATTTCTTGGAGACTCTCTCTACACATCAAGTAAGAAAACCTAGGTCAAACACATTTGACACTGCTGGGAAGGGAGAGAAACACTGGAAAATCAAGGGCACTCACAGTGGTACTGCCCTTGAAGATGGAAGCAAAAAAGTTAGCAAAAATTAATGCAATCACGTAAACTAGCGAATTCTGCCAGAGTTAGCTCTTATTCCCTCTCCCTCTAACCCCCCCCCCCCCCCTCCGACAAAAAATAAATGGTGACATACATGGTCTTGCCCGCGAAACTTGATTTCCAAGGCTCTTCCAGTGACGCACTTCTAGCCATACCAAAGTTCACATCAATAACGCATAGAAAATTTTCTCTTTCAAAAGTAAGACATATTCTTGTAAACTTTCATTAGAACATCTATTTTACATTAAATTTTCTCTACTCCTATCTTCATTTTTCTTTCAAATTTTACTGAAACATCTTGCTGGAGCAAACGTTTGGTCCTGGTTTACGTCAGAGCGACGTATCTGCGCTAGTTCATTCTAAAATGTCCGGCGCCATTCATATTCAAGAAAACAAACACACATACAAATAGGCGGCATCCCTACAAGATAAATGGAAAGTTAAACAACCGTCTTATTCCACAGATATCCGTGCTTTTTGCAACTTCTGAAAGGCTACGGGAGATTGTCAACGAAGCGAGAACGAACAACCATCCAGCAGTGGGTCTAAAGAAGATCATAGTCGGAGGGACGATGATCACAGAATCTTTAGGAAGAGAGCTATGCGAGTTCTTTGGCGTGAGCTCGTTTGTAAACTTCTACGGCTTGACTGAAACATTTCCTTTTATAAGCTGCACTCCTCCCGGAAACATCTGCATGGACAACGTCGGCGTTCCTTGCGCTGGCACCAAAGTCAAGGTATGTCTGATAAAAAAAACAATCTCGAACTCCTATACCCTAAGCATCTTTTGATAACACCATTTGTTTGTCTTTCTTAAACAATGAGCCAGGCCAACAGCTTTTAGTAGTAAGTCGTCTTAGTTTTTAGAAGCACATATGAACGCCCTAATATTTATGCGCCAGCATACAGTCAGTTGATGTACCCACACGCGTCCAGGGTGATTCATCGTCCATTTTAGATCTTGTCCTTTATAGTAGGTCTCTGTCTGAGGTACAGGTATCAGTGGAGGATGGGTTGTCCGACCATAAGCTTGTTTCTTTTTCCTGCCTCATGGGCAGCTCGGATGATTTTGTGGCCCAGAAGCGCAAAACTATTAAAGACTTTTCTAGGGCGAATGACGAATCTGTTCTAGATTACCTTGAGTTATCCTTAGATACATTTTCTGGGAACGACGTTAATTATTTATGGAATAAATTTAAATCAATCTGCCATTTTTGTCTTCGAAACTTTATTCCTAATAAAAGTAAATATGTGCGCCGCAAAAACCCCTGGATGACACGCGAAATAATTCATCTATTACGGAAAGTAAAAAGAGACCGTAGAAGTCGAGTTCACAGTTCCTCCCTCCCCTGCCTAAAGCGAGCACTAGCAGCTAAAATTCGCACAAGTAAACAGTTCTATCATACCAATACACTCACACGATTCCTTAAGACAGATCCAGCGAAGTTCTGGCGACACCTCAGCTCAAATCAACAAAAAACTGTCGATTATGTCAAAATTGGGGAAATGTTGGTTCACGACAAACAACAAATAGCTACGGAGTTTAATCTTTTCTTTCAGTCAGTGTTCTCGAAGTCTTACACTAGACATTCCTCCTTTAACGAAGAAACTGAAATAAGCTCGGAGTTCATCACGTTTGAAGGTATCTTTTCTATGCTACTTAACCTCAAACCTAAATCGTCAAATGGTCCTGATGATATACCAAATGCATTTCTTCGTCGTTACGCTGAGTGGATTTCTAGATTCCTTGTTGTTATCTTCCAGATGTCATTTTCATGTGGCGTTGTTCCCTCAGATTGGCGAATTGCTCGGGTTGTACCCGTTTTTAAAAAAGGAGACCGTACAATGTTAACAAATTATCGCCCAATTTCACTCACCAGCTCTTCGTGTAAACTACTGGAAGATATAATTTCTAATTACATCAATGATTTCCTCGATAAACATGAAATAATCTCGCCTTTTCAGCATGAGTTCCGAAAGGGATTTTCTACTACTACTCAGCTCATTTCAACTATTCATTCTTTTGCTTCTATAGTAGATAGGCCTGGTCAAGTCGACGTCATCTTCCTTGATTTTAGCAAAGCCTTCGACAGAGTTCCTCATTCCGGTCTTATATACATACTTAATGAGATTGGCCTTGCCAGCGCAGTTGTTCAATGGATTGCATCTTATCTTCAAATGCGAAAACAATTCGTCGATGTAGTCGGTCACCATTCTGACCCTCTTCCTGTAATTTCGGGTGTTCCGCAAGGGAGTGTCCTTGGCCCTCTTCTTTTTTCAATTTTTATTAATGACCTCACTTTTTGTATAGATAAAAGCGTGAGTATTCGTTTATTTGCGGACGACTGTCTATTGTTCAAGGATATTAACTCTACTAGGGACCAAGTTGTTCTGAACGAAAGTCTTAATGCAGTATCTAGCTGGTGCGATCGTTGGGAGATGAAGCTTAACCAAGAAAAGTCCTTGTACATGCGCATCACGAACAAAAAGTCCTCTCATCAGTATGAATACTTTATTGGTGATAACTACATCTCTCGGACGATGAGCTTTAAATATCTTGGTATAACAATTTCTAGCAACTTATCTTGGTCCTCACACATTGAACACGTGTGTGCAGCTGCCCGTCGAAAACTAGGTATGATAAGGCACAAGCTTAAGCACGTGCCTTCTCATGTGAAACTTTTAGCCTATAACACATTGATAAGAACGAAGTTAGAATACGCCTGTACAGTCTGGGATCCATTCACAAAAAAAGATATCAAGATACTGGAAAATGTTCAAAAGCAAGCAGCTCGTTTTATATTTAATCGCTACCACCCGCATGACTCACCTGCTGCCTTAATTCAAAGTAACAACATCATCTCTCTTGAATCACGAAGGAAGCTAGCTAGACTAAAATTTCTTTATCAACTCTGGTTTAAAAAACTCCGGCTTGAATCGTCGTCCTTTCTTCACCCATCATCGACTAGGCGCACAAGTCATGACCATCCGCATAAAATAACTCCAGTATTCGCTCGAACAAATGCATTTAAATACTCCTTCTTTCACAGAACCATAACTGAATGGAACAACCTACCTCATCACATATTTATATCTGACAATGTTTTGGAGTCGATTGAGCGTTTGTTTGATGTGTAACTCTTTGCATTGTTTTATTTTCCTGTTCCCCACTACCGCCACCCCTCCCAACTTTGTTGTGAGCTATTACATGTGCTTTATTACAATTTCTGCATAAATTTCCTCTGTTCCCCTCTCCCATTTTACGGGTTACCTGGTGCAGCGCTTTTTTGACTCCACTTTTGTAACCCCCAATCCTGCTTGGGCCGCAATTGGCCTGCAGTATTCCTAAATAAATAAATAAATAAATAAAAAGAAAACGTGCAAAATTAAAAACAAAGCGCAAAAAAAAATAATGTAGGGCGTCTGCCACAACGAACAAGTGGTTTTCACTTTGCAATAAAAATATTTCGCATAGCGGAGAGCCCAGCATTCGCCTGAATGTGGCGCCAACGATCGAGAACTGATTCGTAAATAAATAGGTTAATGCTATCGAATTAAAATGCTAAAACTTTTATTTTCTTCAAACATTGAATGCCAAATTATGGTGCGATCTCCGCATAAGACGTTACTCAATTCCACGTATTTGGAGGCAGAGTCGGTTGCTATTTTCTTACTGAACGTATTTGAATTATATGCGGAAGTTTTCATTCTGGTAGATGTAACTTTTGTATCTGATCTCGACGTGTTGTGCTACATTTTGCAAACACTGAGCGTTCGGCAATGCGTTATGCACTGTTATGACGGAAGGTACTCAATTCTCTCTCCTCACAGACACCCGGTAGTCTGGAACTGCTCTACTCTAATAATGTCCTTATAGAGGCGAACTGAGACGAGCAAATACAAAACCCAAAGATGTATCGTCCTTTTTTGTCTTTTTCCTTAGTTTCCGTAATTGAATATTTCGGCCTAAAGCCACTACGTAATGTACGCTCAGAGTATATTGAATCTGCATTCTCTGTAGTCTTGGCAGCGTGGCCATATTGTGGAACAGTGCAGAACAGGCGAAGTGGTCAAAGTGCAAACTAGCAGAGACCCTAGCGGTTCAGGTGGACTCTGGGAGCCGGAGACCACCAAAGGGTAGTTTAGTTTCGATTTAGTAGGGTTGCGCATCTCGCGTTTGCTATCGTCTCCGCACCGATATTGGTCGCGTCGTCCTGAATTGCTCCACATTTACGCTTGATGCAGTAACATTTCCTTCTCCTTGCTACATATCAGGTGCTGCGGATAACGAAATATTTACGATTCCGTTGGCACGGGGAGCGAGCAAAAACGCCACAACGGAAACGTCATGTAAACGCAGATCGACGTACAGCGAACGCGGTACCAGCTCACTGCGTGCATTTGTATGTAACCTGCAGAACAGCCACTGATACTAGTACTCCACTTTCATAGCACCCTTGCTTCGCCGATCGCTATTTTCAACCAGGCTAACGCTGTACATGTCGAGCCTCGCCGTACGAGAATGTGTTGAAGCCCTAACATGCACCTCTCGCTATGTCGCTGTGAGACAATAGGCCACGGGAATGATCAAAACACAATACCGGTGTTGGTGTCCCCATATCGCTCAATGTGCAGGTTCGTTATTGATACATCTTTTAGCCCTAACACTTCTTTTTTCGTGAAGTTCGCTGTTATCGGATTTTTTCTTGGCCTTTCTCGAGTCCAGTGCTTTTCTCTGTGTTCTCGTGTTTGTTTTTTTGTGTTTTTTTTTTGTTCAACTCACCTGATTGCCAACAGTATGTACCAAGCAGCTCATTTAAAACTTGAAAATGGCTATCGGCGAAGCAAGGGTGGTATAAAACTGGAGTACTTGTCTGAGTGTCTATTCTCGAGGTTGCAAACAAATGCACACAGTTAGCTGGCACGGCGTTCGGCGTACGTCGATCTGCATTCAAGTGACTTCGCTGTTGCAGCGTTTTCGTTCGCTCCTCGTGCCAAAAAAAAATCGTAATTGTTTTGTCATTCACTCTGTATGATATCCAGCGACCAAAAGAAAAGGGTACTTACTGTATTCCGCGTAAGTGTGGCGCAGTCTACGACGACGTGAGAAATGTGAGAAATTATGATGCGGAGGCAAGAGCAGACGACAGATGCGCGACGCATTGAAACCGAAACCGAACCTATCCGTTGAAAGTCTCCGGCTTCCGTTATGCACTTAAACCTCTAAGGGCGCTGCTTTCTTGTATATTGATCATTGCCAACCGGAACGATTTCAATATGAGACATGCTGAACTTCAGACAAAAATTTGAAAGTTTCAGCCGTATTGTTTTGCTCTTTCGCGGACCGTATTAACATTTCTGGAACGAGAAAAAGCGCTGCCCGCTCTTTCAACGAAAACGTTTAGGCGACTGGCAACAATGGTTTTAGGCAACAAAATAGGATAAGTAGGGGTACTTTGAAGCGAAGACCTTTAACGCATGAACACGTACAATCAACCTGCACAGAAGGCCTTCCCCAATAAATTGCGAACGCTCTCCATGGTTTGCGCTCCTCCTTCTTTCAAATGTACACGGTCTCCAAGCGACGCTTGTAACGCATAGCGCAATCTCTCGAGAGCGCAGCGAACATACTATTGAGCGTGCGTCATATGCTTGCTCCGCCTATCGGAAGATGAACCAACGCGTTACAAGCACCGCCGAATTGAGCCAGCCGAAGAACGCTAGGCTCACGCCAGTGCCCCTATAAAAGCAAGCTCCAGCGAAACGCTTCCGAAGGCGTGTACTTGCGATAGTTGCTTCCTACAATCCAATTCAGTTGAGAACTTCGTGCGAACGTCTCGTCAAAGGCGATACGACTCGCACTCAAAAAAAAAAAAAAATATGAGAGGTCATTGAGCTATGCGCTGTATGGAACATACCCGCCGAAAAAGCGGGAGTCATTTTTTTATCGTTTGTAATTAAAGTGAACGTGGCGATCTCGTAATATTCGATGAAAACAAAAGGGACTTTATATAGATCGTTTGTATTTGAGACAAAAAAATGTATCAATGTATAACGGCAATAAGGTCCGATTTTACACATTCTACATGTCAATAATCTCTCTAACAATTATATCTGAGGAGCGGTTCTTCCAGTTCGTTTAAGCTTAGGTCCAGACGTAACCGACGCTACGATCTAACGGAACCAATAATGCAGCCTTAAAAGCGCAAGTCACTTGGACTTTTTTTCTTTATATTTGGTTCAGCGTTCAGCAATTCATCATATTAATTACATTTTTTTTTACGTTCAGCGACACGAATGAAAAGAACTGGCTATGCCTCCGTTTTTGATATAAAGCCAAGTATGCGGCAAACCTGGAAAGCGCAGCGTTTTCCAATTAGGTTTATCTTGTCAAGTACTGCGCCTTCCGCGACGAATCGCGATCTGCTCTGACAAAATAATGTCGCATGGTGCCACAAGTCTCCATGGCAAGGAAAATATAAGAGTTCGTTTCGGGCTGCGCGGTGTATTTTTTATTAACCCATTATAATATTATTGCATGTAAAATTCATGATTTTACTCGTCTATTTGCACCTAACTAAAAAATGAAAATGCGGACTTTGATATTTCCTTTTTCGTATCTATGTTTGAAGTGACTCCATGAAACTCTATGAAATCACCTAAACATTCCAGTCGATATGAAGTACATAACACATTTTATTCTGGATTAGGACATGTTACTTTTCCGGTCCTTACCAACGCATCCGGTAAAGAGTATCTTTTTCTTCCATATTGTGTCCGAAAAGGCATCACGTTTTCTGCTATGTTTTTTTAAACGTACAACTGGAAACACATACCGTGTCTACTGCCTAGAAGCTACATTAAAAAAAAATTGAGTATCTTGCGTCGTTAATTTGTTTGTACATTTAACGAGTTGCCGCGTGAACGAATAATCAGTATAATCAAAATCACTACCTAGATCCTCGACCTCTACAGCGGAGATTCTCTCGGCCCCTATCGAAAAGGCGAGATCGTGGTTCAGAGCAAAACCCTAATGAAGGGCTACTACGGTCGTCCGGAAGCTACTCAAGAAGTCCTGAGCAGTGATGGCTGGCTTCGCACGGGTGAGATTGAGAATGATCTTTGTGTTTCTTATTTTTAAAGTAATCTAAAGTGCCTAACCCAGGTCATGTCGTGTCCCACGTGCGAGTGCACGTCGAGGTCTAGTACTTGTGAATAAGTATTTTTCTTTAATTATACATTACTTGACTAGTGTGTTTACAGATATCCTTTTCTATTTTTGAAACTGCCGTTTATAAGAAACCGTGCTATTTTGATATGCTCAGAGGATATACAAAATGTAGTTATCGTTTATTTTCCCTGAACCAACTTACAAAGAGTCCTTATTATTGAGCAGTATATCTGCAGTTCGAACCGAGTTCTGCATAAATTGCTCTTTCCAGTAGCCTGTACCTCCTGCCCAGGTGGAGAGAAGACTTGGGCAGTGTACTTTAGGTATGTGTATTGAGATACTATAGAAAACACATCGCCCTTCACTTCGCTACACCGGTGCACGAGGGTCAGGTAAATGGAAGGAGCATATTGCCTTAATATGTTTGAATATTTCTTGAGAGCTGAGTTTCGTAGGCAAATATTCTCGGCAATTAGGTTTGTTATTGAATTAATGTTTTTACGCTGGATAATTTAAAAAGTTAAGAGGTGTGGGTTGAAGATGCCAAACAAAGCAGTCTTAGAAATGGTGAGAAAAATAGGAGGGACCTCAGAAATGCGAGAAAACAAAATGCGTTGGAACTTCAAACATCGGGCCAAACCTTGCCAGACAATTATTAATGATAAAAAACATCGTGCTTTGACGCTACATGATTCTTTTACTTTTGGTCCCCGGAAACTTGTCGCATTTACTCAATGCGCATGCGACCGATTTCAGGAACATTTTATTTCAACTGTATAATGTCCCAGTCTTAAGTGCCAATATAACCTGTGAAGAAACGGTCAAGGATAGATTATTTTGAATTAAATTCCAAAGAGGAAGCATTGCCATCTTTCCACCAATATTATTTCCGCAGTGGTAAAAAAATTAACGGCAAAACTACACTAAACCAAAAAGCGATCATTCCTCTTTTTTTAATTCGCAGAAAAAACGTGAAATAAACCAAGTGAAGTTTTTTCAACATTGTTGTTATAGAAAAAACTTAATTTATAGTTTTATTTCTCTATCTGAAGAACAGTGCCGGCCGAGTGCTTTTAGTCAAGACATACTGGAGTATAAAACATCAAGGCAGGATATATACAGGAATACAAAGTAGACAAAGCAGATGTTTAATATTTAAAAAAAAATCTGTTGAAATCACAGATAGTATTATGCATTTTTAAACAAAATCATATAGTGCTAGATAAATAAGTTTAACCAGAAAACCCTCGAAGGCTACGATGCAAACAATTCCATTGTCGGACGGAAATATGAAAGCATTATATTTGTAAAGTCTCTGCATTGATTCTGGTGATTACGTTTCTCATGTGTCTGCCTTTAACAACAGCAATCATTGTACGTCAAGTAATTGTCGCAACATATGCACTTCTTCGCAGGGGATCTTGGGTACTATGACAGTAATGGAAAGATCTACTTCGTAGATCGCATCAAGCAGATGATAAAATGTATGGGGAACATTGTAACTCCTGCCGAGTTGGAAGAAATTTTGACCACACACGAGGCTGTTTTGGAAGCCGCTGTGGTCGGCATACCCAGTTCGAAGTACGGGGAGGCTCCGGTCGCTTGTGTCGTTGTCAAGGAAACCCAGGAAAAAAGCCTAGACATTCTGGAACAAGAACTGAAAGAACTTGTAGCAGGTATGCTGTCGATTTTCTTCATGTAGGGGATCTACCCAATACTTGTTTATTTATAATAATACAGATTTTTATCCGGGAGGAACCGTTACTATGAGTTAATTCGACATGGAGGCTCACAAATATGGATCAAATGATCATAAACACGAATTGATTGAAAATGTTAAATCTTCGGTAAAAATTAAAACAAAACCTCACGCTAGACTGCAAATAAAACGGCATAGCCTTAAGTTGCAGGTTTGAATCACAGCGCTGTTAGAATTATTAGGGAAAACTATGTACAGGGTGTTTTTTCATCTTTCCAGTTTAGTTTTAAAAAAAGCCGTGAACGTTACACTTAAGCGGTTCCTGCAGGTGACTTATACAACCAGGGGGACAGTATACGGGTGGCTGAGGTTTGCGATAAGTCGGCTGATTATTTAAAAACTTGTTAAATAACTTTTTAGTTACTAAATAAAGACATATGGTTCCAATTAGAAACTAAATGAGCCCCATCAAAAACCACTACATGAACACTTTTTAGAACGACTTGAAGCCCGTGGGAAACTTTGGGGTTCGCCAGTTACCACTCGTGCAGCAGACGCAAAGCTAGAAGTGGCGGAACGCGGATGATAAGATTATCATCGCGTTCCGCCACTGCTAGCTTGGCGCCTGCTTCATGAGTGGTAACTTTGGCGCACCCCGAGTTTTTATGACCTTCAAGTCGTTCTAAAAAAAGTCGATTAAGTGGTTTTCGATGACGCTCAGTAAGTTCCTATTTGGAACCATATCTATATTTTCACAAATTGAAAAGTTAATTAACGAACTTTAATTAATAATCCGACTTGTTGTAAATATTAGCCACCTTCATAATTTCCCCCTGGCCGTATAACTCACCTGCAGAAACCGCCCTATTGAAAATTCCATCAAGATACGTAATTTGGGACACTGACTGCCAGTCAGCAGCCTTGGTGGAACGTGATGGACCATCAGACGTCATCTGATTGTCCATCAGATGACGTCTGACTGCCACTGCCAAGAGAATTTCATCAACAAGGGCACCATTTATATAAGAGTAAAGCTATACGCACTCATAAATATTGCCAAATGCCTCGATAAAACAAAATGTTCGAGGCAAAAAAAAAAAGAAAAAAAAAAAAGCAGGACCACCGCGGATCGAACCCGCACCACTTGCGTACAAATCGGACATCTTGACCCCTATGCTATGCCGCCGCTATGGAAACTCGATTTGACTATTCGTTTTATACGATATGCTTCGGCTCAAATGCAGTTAAGCCGTCAGCATGTTATGCAAACCACTCGTACATCACTCGCCGTACTTCAGTTCTACTCACCTGCCATGTAGAGTACTTTCGCGTCATAGACGATCCTTTTGTTCGCGCGTCTCCGGCCCAGTAGACCTGGTACACCTTGTCGTCTTCAACTACACCGCTAAAGTCCCTTACATCGTCGGAACTCACAACAGGCTGGGTCTTGTCGAGTAGAAATTCTACTAAAACATAAGACATTGTAGAATCCGGGCAGGATCAACAGGTTGGAGCCAGCGGGCAAACAAAACGAGTCGAGAGCGATCGTTCATGAAAGCTCGGCGAAGCCTCTATGGGCGAAGCGAAGTGTCGTGTTTGGCGCTTCGGCGGGCTTCTGATCAAGGTTGTCGGTCGGTTGCGTGTCATATCTCTAACGTCAGCGGTTTTATGGGCTCACGTCCCGAAATCGTTTTCTCGTGCATAGATTACTTTTCGTATTCATAGATTTGATGAAATAGTGGTATCGGAACGAACTTTACGTGCTTTGACCGTACGTCTGTCTTCACGTCAAAGCTTTTTGACGTCCAGTCAGAGACAGTCGATGTACAATCAGAATCGCCACCAAGACATCCTGATGGCATTTCGCGGCGGCCGACTGCCACCAGGAAACCATCAGAAAGCCGACAAGCGGAGTCTGACTGGAGTTTGACTGTCGGTCAGGGTAACTTGTTGGCCAATCAGACGTGCTTGACGTACAGTGAGGCACAGTCAGCGGTCCACTAGAAAACATAGACTGCCAAACAGGGTTACATTGATGGATTTTTCCTTCGGGCGCATAAGTGTAAATCTTAAAAAAGCACTCGGTATATAACAAAAATAATCTAATATATAAATATTATATCAGACCGGTCGAGAAGGGCAGATCTTTAATTGGGAAATCATTTCTTTGCAGTGGTGGGCGTAAAGGTTTGAATATAATCTGATAAATATTAAACTGACATAAGTGTCCTCCTCCACCGCTCTCACCCCTCCCCCCTGCCTACATAATAAAAAAACAATTTCGCTTGTAGGTACGTATAAATACTACATATACTAGAACGGTAACGCTACAAACCCACAAAGCATTCCCTTTCCTCCCCAATCTACAAACTACGAGAATAGACCCTTTCCGGAATTCAGTGCCATCTGGTGACTCAAATGGCAGTTTGACGTTTACCGTACTAATGGCGGCAATGAACCTGTGCTCCGCAGTATTTTATGGGGCACCGTCACTTTCGCAAGTCAACGGTAAACGAGAATGTGCGCTTCACTGTACAGTTCCTTTCAATGTTTTTCAGTGTCGATGTCGAAATAGATGCAACCAGTAAGAACGAAGCGCCAACCCACACAGATGCCTTCATAGAGTTATATACTGTGAGCGGTGGAGCGGGCGTAAAGGGGTAAAAAGGCTTTAATTTGGTGGAAAAGGGGCTGGGTTACAAGTTCGTCAACACACGAGGCTCATGGCGGCTCTTCACGCTCCTCGCGCCGGGCTGCCCAAGGTTGTTAGACCTGGTCTCAGTGACCGCTGTCTGGAGGTCGCCTCAGCTCACATCCCACCCCACTTGCAAGTTCATGTCCTCTTGGAACAAAAGAACAACCTAATCCTGCAGCGACAGGTCATAGTCCTGTAGTCGCTTTGGTTTTGTCCGATGACGCTGCGGTCTTTGGTTTGGAGGGTGGCCTGGGTCCTCACTTTGGGGCAAAGGCACCAAGTCAGGTTCAGCTTCAAGTCCCACGGAGTTGTGTGCGGGGGCTTGATCTTCAGTGGTCGACTCGGCTAGAATTGGATCGATATATGGGGGCCGGTATTTTTTCATTTGGCTTACGTGGGCGACTCGGGACTCTGCTGTAGACGTCTTCGAGTTTGTCACACGTCGCACGTCATACGTAACTGGAGTTCTCTTGCGTGTGACTTGATATAATCCTTTGAATTTGGGAGCAAGTTTCTCCGATCCCTGAAGGATAGGCTGTTGTCGTCGTATCCATACAGAGTCACCGATGTCATAAGATGCATCGCGGTGGGTCCTGTCGTATATCGTCTTCCGTGTTTCCTGAGCTTGTTCAGAGTTACTGACTGCTTCGCTTCGCAGGTCTGGTAGTGCTAGAAGTCTTTCGCTGAGGTTAGAGGCTCGATGTGGGCGGACTTTCTGGTGTGGCAGCCTTGGTATGAACCCGAACAAAAGTTCGAAGGGTGAAAATCCGGTGCTTCGGTTACGGGTTGTGTTCACAGCAAAGGCGGCCTCTTCCAGTTTAGCGACCCAGAGTGACTGATCACCGTCACACAGTTTCAGAAGTACTGTCCCAAGCGTCCCGTTGGCACGTTCAACAAGTCCGTTGCTGGCAGCACGGTATGCTACTGAGAAGTGCACGTTCACACCATGCATGCGCATGAATTTCCTGAACTGGTGGGACCCGAATGACTTGGCATGGTGGGAGAGACAGTCATCACAGGCTCCGAATCTGTAGAACAGCGAATGCAAATGTTTCAGCACATCTTTTGTTGAAGTTGTAGGCACTGCTGCTGGGACGATGTATCTGGTTGCGAAGTCGTTGACGTTGAGTATGTACTTCGCTTCTGTTCCTGGCATTGTGATGTGATCAAGGGCTATTTCACTGAAGAGGATCTCTGTAGTGGGCATGAAACACATTGTGCCAACTGATCGCGTGGTGGGTAGGTTGTGCGCTTGGCAAACTTGACAACCTTCGACATACTATTTCGTAGTAGCCGTCATCTTCGGCCACCAATAACGGTCTTTGACCTTTGTGAGGGTGCGTGACACATCCATCTGTCCATTGGCGTCATGAGCAAGTTCAAGGACCTGCTGTTGCATCTTGGCCGGGACAACAATAGTGCACAGTTCTGGATTCACAACTCTGCACAGGGTCCTCTCGACCACAGCAAAGTTCTGGGTGTCCTGTCCTGACAGAAGTTTTGCACGGATGGCCTTGCATGTTTCGTCTTCAGCTTGCATTGCGATGAGTGTGTCGACCTGGGACACCGTGGCACATGAGTGTCGTGAAAGCATGTCAGCCGCGTGGTTCTGACGTCCGGGTCGGTGCTCAACCGAGAAGTCAAACTCGGCTAGGTCGAGTAGCAATCCTGTAAAGCGTCGCGACGGCTTGAAGTTAGTGGTCAAACAGGCGACTGACCTGTTGTCAGTCAGAAGATGGAACCGTCGTCCCAATAGGTAATGTCGAAATTTCACTGTGATGGCCCAATGCACGGCCATGGCTTCCCAAACATTGCTGTGCAGTTTCCGTTCAGGTTCCGTGAGCAATCGGCTGGCATACTCAATCACAGTCTCTTTTCCGTTTTGCTTCTGGGCCAGTACTGCTTTAAAGGCTGTAGCAGATGCGTCTGTGGCGACTGTCGTAGGCGCATCAGCATCAAAGTGGCCTAATATTGGGGGTGACGTTAGTGCAGAGCGAATAGTTTCAAAAGCCTGCTGGCACTCGGGTGTCCACTGGAACTCCACGTTCCGACTGGCGGCTTGAAGAGGCGCTGAAATCTTCGAAAAGTCACATATGAAGCGTCTGTAAAAATTGGCCGTTTGGAGCCACGATAGCAGCCGCTTCGACGTTGTTGGCGCTGGAATTCGCAGGAGTGCTTTGATCTTCGAAGGGTCTGGGGTTTTATTTTGTTCAGAGATCACAAATCCAAGAAACTTCACAGAAGCAACCGCAAACTTGCACTTCTTCAAGAAAACCTTGAAGCCGGCCTGCAGCAGGAGAGTCAGGGCCTCTTCGAGAAGATCCAGGAACTCCGAAAAGGTGTCGGCAAAGATGATGATGTCATCCAGGTATGTGCGCACACCTGATTTGGACAGTCGGGGCTTCAGCTGAGAAAATATCTTGTGCATCGTTTTTTTGGAAAGTGGACGGTGCATTCTTCAAGCCAAAAGGCATTCGCGTCCGCTTGAAGGTACCTTGATGAGTGATGAATGTGGTTTTCTCTTGGTCTTTATCTTTCACTCTGATCTGCCAGTACGCACAGTATAAGTCCAAGACCGCAAAAAGGGAGCTCCCACCAAGGTCATCAAAAAAGTCATCAGCTCGGGGGAGTGGCTGCAGGACGTTTAGTCATCTGGTTTAGAGGTATGTAGTTCACACATAGCCTCTTTTTGTCTTTTTGCGTCACGACAATTGCTGGGAATTCCCATGGTCCAGAGGATGGGCGAATGATGTCATACTCGAGCAGAGATGCTGTCTGACGCTCGAGGAATTGTCTGTCGCTGGCGGTGTAGCGGTATGGCTGTCGACCGTAGGGCTTGGCGTCGGGCATCAGCTTGATCTCGTGTTTAATGCCTTCATATAGGCCAATGTCCTCAGGGCTGCTGCTGAAAAGACCAGCATGGCATTGTACAATGCTCTTTACGGCTTCTTGTTCTTTGCGACTTAGCTGAGCTCCTAGGCAGATATCGGTCAAATTATCATCAAGAATGATAGCAGGTTGGTCTGGAGGCAACGGTCTTGGGGGCCCTGTCTCGAGGTGGCTCGTGGAGCGAGTTGTGTCCACCTGAGCCAAGGTTGCCTTGTTGAGTTGGCTCCACAAGGGTTCGTTTTCATCTGGCTCGTGCTCGACTTGGAGTGGCTCTACTGTAGAGTGCGGGGGGTCAAAACGTGACAACGCAGGAGTTGTCAAGATTACTGCATTCGACATTCTTGGCAAGAGTTCCTCCTTACACTGCACGATAATGTTGTTTCACGGTTGGCAGATCACAGGTAGGAGCGGAGGCTTGAAATGCAGTCCCGCTTGGGCTGCGTAGAACCAGTCTTCTCCCAGAATGAGCGGGAGGGCATTCCTTTCAAGTACGGCTGCTTTGACAACGGCAGACAGAGGTCCGATAGTTATTCGCAGAAAGACTGATCCTTCGGGCATAACTGAGCTTCCTCCGACGACAAGCAAAGGTGGCTTGGTCCACGGTTCCAGCTTGAGGTTTGATGCTAGGCTTGCTGCAAGGATGGTGACGTTCGAACCACTGTCTGGGAAGGCACTGATCTCTCCCAGTCCTTTGACTTGTGCGGTGACTACAGCACATTTAAACTTGGATCCAGACAAGAAGTCCTCGGCGCGGCGAACACAAGCCGTTGGTGCTTTGGGGACTGTCTGCTTGTCACGAAAAGGCTGTTTTGGTTCGGTACATTTGCTTGCAAGGTGGCCCATCTTTTGACAGTTGTAGCACACAGCATCTCTCAAGTCTTGTCCTCGTCTGTATGCTGGGGCACCATACTTCGTCGAAATGGCCTCATACCTTGATCCTTGGTCGGGAGGTGGTAGGCTGGTGGTTCGAGGAGGCGGCATAACACGTGTGGTGTGCTGGAAGGTAGATGATCGAACAGACTGTGGGGAGTTCACGGCACTGTCAGATTTGGCGATGGTACCTTGAGGCGTGGGGCGTCCTAAGGCTTGCTCTGTTGACTTTGAAGATCGGGCCAGGCGGGTGTGGTCCAATGCTCGATCCACTTCAGACACTATGCTGAGGAAGTCGTCCACGGTCCGGGGTCGCTGAACAGTGATGGATGTGGCTACCTGTTCGTCACGAATGCCTTGAACGAGGTATTCAATGCGTTCCTTGACGGCAATATGAACTGGACAGCGTGACATGCGCTTCAGTTTTGCGAAGGCGTACTGCTGCAGGCTCTCTCCGGCTTTCTGCGTGATCGCTGCGACTCTATGGTGCCACTGTATGAGTGAAAGTTGTTCACCAAATTGCTCTTCAAATCCGGCTTTCCAAATGGTCCAGGTTGTAAGTTGTCGCCCTGTTGACACATGCCAGTCTGCTGCGACACCACGTAGCTTTCCTTGTGCGATGGCCAAGAGAGTTGGGTCTTCCCATCGCGCAAATCGTTGAGTGCGCTCGAGCTCTTCGACCCAATGCTCGAGGGTAGGGGTGCCACTTCCGTTGAAAGTAGGCAACGAAGCTGAGAGATCCGGTAGCGTCGTTAGGTGCACCGGATTCGCTTGACTCGCTATCGTTGTCATCATAACGGCCATGTTCTGATGGAGGAAGGCTGTCATGCGCTGCATGTTCTCTGCTGGGTCTGATGTAAAGGTTGGCATTTCCAAGAATGACATCGTAGGTGCTGACACGGTTGGAAACGACGTCGAAGCTGCGGGCACGTTTGGCGGTGGTTCTTGGGCGGTATCGACCAGAAGTCGGTCGATCAATTCCTCCGTGTTGCCGGTTGTGGAGAGGCTCCGGCGCTGCAGTTCGGTTTTTATCATCTGTACATTCAGGGTGGCAAGGTCTTCGGCGGTGGCAACACGCCAGTTGTTGAAAGGCATCGTTGTTGACGGGCTAGGCAGGGTAGGCTTAGGAGGCGGTCGACGTTCCGACAGCGCTCAATCAAATGCGGAGGGGCTTACTTGACGGGCAAAGCGGCTGCGGCAGGTTGCGGGCGTCGACTGCGCCATGTGTGAGCGGTGGAGCGGGCGTAAAGGGGTAAAAAGGCTTTAATTTTGTAGAAAAGGGGCTGGGTTACAAGTTCGTCAACACACGAGGCTCATGGCGGCTCTTCACGCTCCTCGCGCCGGGCTGCCCAAGGTTGTTAGACCTGGTCTTAGTGTCCGCTGTCTGGAGGTCACCTCAGCTCACAATATATCAAGGGCTTTGAAACCGAGTTTGTGCTACTGACAGATTGACTGGGCCCGAGTTAGAAATGATCGCTTACGCAGCTCTTGCGTCCAATTCCTTCTTCAAGTAGCTTTAACGTCTACAATGCATATGCCTCAAATCATCTGCTTAGGAGCATCTTCGACATCTTCCTTTATCAGTAAACAGAAGGCCGCCATAAGTATAGCAAATATGCCATTTTTCAGATTAGGATAGTGATCAAAGTGGCCAGACTGAATTCCGGAAAGGTTCTATAAGTTAGCTATCGGCCTCGCTTTCCTGGCATCAACCGGAATTATACATCGTCACTTACTTCAGTGGTGCCTAGGAGGGCGGAAAAGTTTAGTCAAGATTTGTTCCCTTCGAGAAGAGCAGGCACTCAGCCTCTTTTACAAGGTTTGATTTTGTGTTTATATAGCAAAAGACGTACAAGTAAAACAATCTAAAACAAACGATATGCAGAAAGAGAAGTTATTGATTAACACTGTGTACGCGTTTTGTAGCTGCACATATTTTTAGCCGAACGCTCTTCCACTATCCTTGTTGATGAGGTGTTACTATGTTGTTTGCAGGTCAAACATCGACCTTCAAGCATCTCTACGGCGGTGTGGTTTTTATAAATTCTCTACCAAAATCAGAAAACGGGAAGATTCTGAGGCAGGAGTTGAAGTCGAGGATATTGTCCGGAAATGTCTAGTGTTATTCAACGAAAATCCAGCATGTTGTTCTGCAAAGTTTGGCATAATATTCAAGAGAAAATAAAGGAAATTTAAAATATATTTCGTGTCGAGCACAGCCAACTTCACGAATAATGTTGCGAATCTCTAAGAGGACAACACAATTTTCTTAACTTAAATTATTAGAATAATTCTGCGCCCATATCGGCTTTATTTTCACACGGATCGACGGGCTGGAGCTTGTACAGACACCGTCCACCTTACAGTCACTTGTGACCAAGACTAGGTTAGCCCTGAAACGACGGGATTTTCGTTTCTATCTGTAATATGAAGAATACCAGAAAATAATAAAATAAGCGATGAAACAACAAATTATAAAAACGTTTACTGTATTTTGACGGCATCATTACTGGTCTCACACATTACATTGAACAGAAGGTTACTTACTAAGCTACCTCAAAACAGTTTACACAACCGACATGCATATTTCCCAAGAAGATCTCACCAAAAAATATTTCAATTTATTTCATACAGAACAAAGAAATGCAACTGAGAATGGCCAATGAAGACACCTGTTTAAAATTTCAAACTTTCTTCCAAACTTACATCCTACGGAATGGAAAAAAAAAAAACGTTTAAAAGGTTAATCTCGAAGGCAAAGCAAGTAAACATGAGTGTTTTGACAGCATAAAATCGGTGTTCTGTGAGGTATGGCGACGATGCTTTATAATTTACATTTTAAATTCTTCCCGTGCCCCACAGTTGTGACACGCAAAAGCACCCCCGCATGCTTCTAATCCAGATCTAATCACACTTGGGTGGAGGTTAAACCCAGAGTATTTTGGTTCTGCGAGCCCGAACATTCGCTCCATATGCTCCACCTTCCGGTGCTCTAACACGCTTGGCCCTATCGATCCCCCCCAAAACCCCACGTTATGATGTGTAAACTTTACTGTGCCATTGTTTCGCAAAATTGAGCCAAGTAGAACAGGAAATGCAGCCATTATTACAAGAAACATAGCGCCATATAAGAACAATTGACAGAATTTCAGTTAAATTTATGCACATTGCACTTAATAGATGGCTTGACCGTTTTACCTCTAGATATTCAGAGTAGAGGTGCCGTCCGATGCAGGACCGGTGGTCGTCAACGGCCACATCCTAGGATTGCTTTGCACCAGAGCTGCCGCTCAGTCTTGTATGGGCCTGGCGGTGGATGGTATTTTCTACTACTGTGTAGGATGGCCACCATGTAATGCACCAAAGCACGGCGTCCACTCGTTTTGTTTTTTGTTTGTTTTTAATATACTCGAAAAGAAATATTTTATGAGTTTCACAGCATGGAAATCTATGCTTGAAAAAATTAAGATCTAGGAACTCCATTTTAAACAGTTCGTTTTTTGAGCATATTTACTATGTTTCAGATTCCTTAACATGTGCCTGAAATTTGTCTCACTGCATGTCACCATCTCGTTGGCAGGAGTCACTCTCCAGCGTTTTTCTGCCTTCGCACACTGCTAGCGAAACTTCGAATAACCATCCTTATTGAGCATTAGCTTTCTGTGGCCATCATGGCTTTAATTCTTTTCTGCAACATAAATACTGTAACAAAGATATCACTTAGGTCCTGCAAAAATGCAAATCTGCTTTCTGTAGGCGAATTCCAGAAAAGACAAAAATTTGACCAGTGTGCTTGAGGTCATTACATCTGCTGTTCGCTCAGCGTTCCAACATTTCCTCGTACAAAACTTGATCGACTTTGAGGGATAGTAGATGAGGTGACCAAAAAAATACTTCAGCCTAAAGAACTGCCCCAACTGGTGAAGGAAACGGAAAGTCTTCCAAGTCTTCCGTCTACAGAAGCCATTAAGAACTGCCCCAGCTGGTGAAGGAAACGGAAAGTCTTCAAAGTCTTCCGTCTACAGAAGCCATTAAGACGATCTCAGCCTTTTAGAGGGTATCTGTGCAGAAATACGATGCAATCTCTCTTTAACACTAAAAAAGTCAATGGGGTATTAAAAAGAACACACCTTCCTCAGGAAAGAGACGATCACTGATGTTGTCATTAACCCAGGTCGGTTGGTGGGAGTTGGGCTGGTGGCGAACACTGATACTGTACCGCATCAGGGACTTCCATTTGGCCAGTTAAACGTAATCGTGGCCATTACTATGGTGATGGTTAAGAGAACTAAACCACTTAAGGCTGGTTAGAAAATGAAAAGAATACAAATTGGGAGAAAAAATAATAGAATGACATAGGAAACGTGCCAGACAAAGCTGCGTTTGGGACATAGCCCTCTTCACTCGTCTACTATGGATTCTTCTGGTCTCCACACAGCCCTTTGTTGGCTGTGTGTTATATTCCGGTTCAATCACGAAAGCTATAAAGCTTCAGAGTGTAGCAAGCATTTTTGCCAGGTAGATTTATGCATCTTACTAGCCGTCGAACACCAACTGGAAGACAATCTTAGGAAAGCTATTCTCTTTGACTTTTCACAAAGTGTGTTACTCGCCCCTTTCCTCATGACTTCCTACAAAAAATCATCTTACTTAACATGTATGAGGTAAAATAAATTAAGAACTCTATTGCCACATCAAAGGTATTCCACCTTCAATCATTCAGTGAATATGGCATACAACTTTGTTGGGTAGCAAGTCATATTGGGATTCCAGGGAATGAGGAAGCAGATGGATTGTCTGCACCTTCCAAGGAATCACTATATGCGGTGACAGGTTAAGGGTACAGGAAAAGCTCGTCCCACCGCTTTCCACTTTAGTAGAGCGAATGCTGGAGAGGACGGGACCTCATTTTCAGCGCTCGATCTGCTCAAGTGAAAAGGGGTTGAAGGATATTCTCTTCTAGTCTTAACCTGACACAGACTATAATAACAACGCGTGGTTCACCCCAGCAAGTTGTGAAACCACTTTTGATGGAATCAATTCTTATGAAATGGCAATAAGGTTCGGACACGTAATGTGACAACAAACTCTTGTTATTAAGCTTACGTTGCCAATCTGGGAGGGCCCTATTTACAAGGAACGCTGTGCAAAGGATTCGCTATACACGCCATACACGGGGGATTCGCCGTACATGCTGAGGATTTGCCACACACGCTGTGGGGCTAAGAGATTGGAGGAAATGCGTTGGCACGCCATACTGGCCCGTGCTCGTGAGAGTAAGGCGAGCAGGAGTAGTCGAACTTAAACAGAAAAAAAAACGACAGTTTTTTTTTTTCACACATTGCCATTTGGGGAGCGGTACTGTCATGGTTCTGTGGAAGGAAGAATGTGAAGGACGAAGTGACGGGTGCGAAAAAGGTGCGTGAAGAGCACGAGCCGCGACGTTCGGCAGCTGCTTGAAGAATCTGGCCCGCAGTGTCCCGGTATCGATGACCTGAACCAGAACCCGCCACTACGCACGGTGTGAAGGGAACAGCGGAGGCATGAGCATCTACGCCACCTCAACACCGTCCCTGGACTGAGCGTCTACAGAAGCCAGGAACCAAACCTCGTCACGACATATGCCGGTGCATCTCTAGGACGATAGCCCCGTAGTTTGAACTGCGTACTTCTTTCTTGTGACTTTACTTATAGTCTTTTTACATTTTTTCCTTCCATGCTGATATTTCTTTTGTGCGTGCAAAATTATGCCCTGTTTTTTTTGCTAAATCCCTGTCTCCCGACCCTTTTCTTACCAACCCCGGACGAGCCTGTGGCAATTTGGCGAGCTTGTCAGGATGGCGCGGCCCATTACATACTTGTTAGTTTTCCGGGAGGTGAGAGAGGAGAAGGAGATTTGAGACTGGTGCATTACTATGGAGCTCGATAAAAAAATGGCGGCAGCTAAGGAATTGGGGTATACTGGGGACGAGTTAAAAAAATGGGTTGATGAGGAGAGAGCGCGTGGGAGAGCTGATAGAGCACAAGAGCGTGATAACACCAGGGAGGACCGTGAGGCGGCTCAAAGAATGTTAGCGGCCGAAAACGCTAAGCTGGATAAGGAACGAGAGGTCCTGCAGTTGAGGATTGCGGCTCGTGAAGGAGGAGGTGAATGTGCTGCAAATTTGGAAAGCGGCCGCGGGGAAGAGTCAGGCCGAGGGAGTCACGGAAGTCCCCACAAACTGATTCCACAGTTCAATGAACGAAGGGACGATCTAGATGCCTATCTGCAGCGCTTTGAGCGTACTGCACCATGGTTGGGTTGGCCAGTGGAGAGGTTTGTTACGCCTTTAGGCTTATGTTTGATCGGAGAGGCACTCACGGTGGTCGGCCGACTGACACCTGAAGATGAGTTAGACTATGCCAACGTCAAGCTGGCGCTGTTCCAGCGATTTCGTTACACTAAGGAAGGATACCGCGAGAGGTTTCGCGACGCCAAACCCGAGGAGGGCGATACGATGAGACAATTTGCTGCTCGACTGGCAGGGTACTTTTGTAGATGCCTCGAGATAGCGGGAGTTGAGAAGACGTTCGAATCATTGCGAGACAATGTCCTAGTGGAACAATTGCTGTTGACATGCTCGAGCAAGCTGACGGTCTTCCTGAGAGAGCGCGACTGTCAGAGGTTGGATGACGTAGCAGCTAAAGCTGACCTCTTCTTGGAGGCCCAGCTGCAGCATAGCACGGGTAAGCAAAAGCGAGACGAGGCGACAAACAGGCGAGACGCTGAAAACGAAGACAAACACGCAATGGGTGGTCTCCGAAAGAGTATCCGCTACTTCCTTTGTGAGAAGATTGGGCACAAGGCAGAAAACTGCAGTGGTAACGTCCAAGCTATGAGGTCACTGGCATGTTGGAATTTCGGCCCTAGTGGTCACAAGGCAGAGAACTGCAAGGGAGGGCAGAGCGAGAAACATCAGGCGTCGTGCTTGTACACGGTGCCAACAGATAATTGCGACGACGCGGACGATTCCTACGTCACCATGAATAATGGGGACAAGATCCCGGTAGTGAATGCGGTCATAGGGAGAACCCCAAAATTTCTGTCGGAGAACATGCCGGTAGTGGAAGGTCAACTGGG